GGTTGCGAGAAAAGGTCCAACAATATCACACATGTTCTTTGCAGATGACCTGATACTGTTTGCAGAATTGAGTTTGCAGCAAGCGGGTGTTTTACAGAGGTTACTAGAGCGATTCTGTGAGGGTTCAGGGCAGAAGGTAAGTATTGCTAAATCAAAGATGTATTGCTCAAGGAATGTTCCAACAGAGGTAGTTGAGCAAATTAGTAGGAAAACGGGAGTTGGATTAACAAATGATCTAGGAAAATATCTAGGTATGCCACTACTACACAGCTGAGTGAATAAGGGGACTTATGAAGGGATTCTTGAAAGAGTTAATAAGAGGCTACAAGGGTGGAAGAGCAAATGTCTATCCTTTGCTGCCAGAACATTACTTGTGAAGATTGTAGTGGCCACGATACCTATTTATGCTATGCAAACATCATGGCTGCCTAGCTCTCTGATAGATAAGATTGAGAAGAAGATCAAGGGCTTTATCGGGAATGGAGATTCAAAGAGGCAAATGCATCTCATGAATTGGGACAGTATAACACAACTAAAGAGGAAAGGGGGACTGGGAATTAGGAAGTTAAGATAGGTAAATAGAGCTATGTTAGCTAAAACTTGTTGGAGGTATCAGACACACCACGAATCCTGGTGGGCAAGAAGTTTAGGAGGCAAATATGAGGACAAAAGTGCAGGAGCCAACCCATTCAAGAAGAAAAATAGTCAATCCCATACATGGCGAAGTTTGAGAGAAGGAGCAGAACTGCTGCTGAAAAGGATACGATGGAGGCTGGGGAATGGCAATAGAATCAACTTTTGGACAGATCCATGGATCATGAAAGAACCATTGATACAGTGGGCAATTACGGTAGTGCCAGGAATGGAGTAGGCTAAAAAGGTGAAAGAGTATTGGATTAATTCCAGTTGGGACTGGTGTACGCTAAGTAAATACCTTCATCAGAACCAAATCAACTTGATTAGAGCAACTATGGTCTACAGTAAAGAGGACAATCCGGACTCGATTACCTGGGATCTGGAAGCTAAAGGGACTTTCACTACTGCTTCGGCTTATGAGTTAGATGGGCAGTGCGCACCTGTAACGAAGCAAGACATGGCATGGGAGAGGCTATGGAAACTCAAGGGCCCAGGGAGATGGCAATTTCTGTTATAGATTGTAAAACATGGGCGACTGCTTACTAACACTGAGAAGCATAGGAGACATATGCGTCCTACTGGGCAGAGTGAAGTTTGTGGGGCAAAAAGTGAAACCATTCTTCATGCACTACGGGATTGTGATTGGATAAGCGCTATCTGGCGCAAGCTAGTTCAACAGAAATATTGGAGGATATTCAAGGCTAAAACTCTGGACTAATGGGTCGATTGGAATGTTAAGGAAGGAGAAATAACAGACATCAGGAGATCTTCTGGCCTATATTGTTCCAGCGGGTGGTTCATTGGGCATGGACGGTAAGGAACGAATGGATGCATCAAGGCCTAGATAGGAAAATGGGAGTCAATGCAGAGCAACTTGTGAAGCATGTGATGGATGTTCAGGAACTAAATTAAAATTTCCACGAGTCTAGCAAAAAGCAACTGCAATACATCAGTTGGGGTAAACCCAACCTAGGATGGGTTACGCTAAATGTAGATGAAGCGTCGAAGCACAATCCAAGAAGGGCTAGTGCGGGAGGCTTGATCAGAAATGAATATGGGCAGTGCATTGTAGGATTTAGTGCTAACCTGAGGCATGCCAGTAATGTGGCTGCAGAACTTTGGGCTATGCTTATAGGGTTACAAATCGCTTGGAATTCGGGATATAGAAAAATTGTCATTGAGTCATATTCTAAGACTGCTGTTTCTCTGCTGGAGTTAGCCTCAAAGGAGAGTCTACATTGAAATATAATAGTAGAGATTAGAGAAATGTTGAGCTAGAATTGGGATTGTAGACTGGAACATATCTGGAGAGAAGGGAATAGGAGTGCAGATCACCTAGCTAAATTGGGGAGAAGTCTAGACTATGGTTTGACAATGCTTGGGGACTCACCACAAACAGTTAAAGAACTCCTAGGCCAGGACGCATGTGTAGTGGCTTTCCCTCTTTTGACCAACTTGTACTGAGCCATTGGCTCTCCTTAGCAACCAAAAAAAGATCACTCTTATCTTTGGGAAGTCAGAAACTTATCCTATCCCCAAGGTGAGGGCTCGAGATTAGTTCAATTTATATCAAGTTGGGATAGCTTCAATGGTCATGTGGCATACATGCAATGTATACCTCTTTACTAGCCCTCCAAATCATTTTTTATTCTTATATAAATGAATTTGACCTTTAATGAACCAGACACATGGTAATCCGCCCTTAGCAAAGTTGGATCATTATTACTTACTGGATGCCTCGATTGGTACTCCTCACACCAATTGAAGACATAAAGCTGTTAAAACAATTCTTTAGAAATTGCAGCTTTTCTTTCATTAGAAGAGAAGGAAATGTTGCAAGTCAGAGTTTGGCAAGATTTGCCTTGAACTTAGTAGAGGATGTTTACTGGAAGGTTTCCTTCCCTCTCTGGTTAACTAGATTAGCTAGGGAAGATTTAGGAGCAGCTACTCCTCCAATTTTGTAAATAAACTTTGACTCCGTTTGAATTAATTATTTTTAGCGTGTTTTTTGTAAAGTTGTTATGGTGCAATTCAGTAGAAAAATACTGTTTACATTGGAAAAAAAGGGATAATTTCAGAGGTTTCTCCCCTGAGGTTTCTGACAGTCTCAAGGACCTCTCCTGAAGTTCCGAAAATCCCTTATACCTCCCCTAAAACTAAGTAGATAGTTTCAGGTCCAACCCAATTAAGGTGGACAATGAATATAAAATATGTTTTAGGAGAGAGAAAATAAAGAAATTCCACCTCTGCCCTCAAGATTGTCATTAGTGAGGATGTTTATGTTGAAAATTTCAATGGAATCTAGTTCCTTTGAAATTGCAGGGGGTGTATGTAAAACTAATGGAAAAAGGTAAGGCTGTATTGCAAGAAATTGTCTTCTGCTTCATGCCAACGGCTCTCAAAGCAGTTCTTTGTAACGGTAATAAGAAACAGTAGTGTTGCTTTGGAGCTCTATATAATTGCCTACTGAAGTTGCAAGAGAAAGCAGTGAATGTTGTTGGGTTGTGGCTGAGGTTTTTGCAAAACTGCTCATACAAGTAGCAAAGTTGAACTACGTACAAACAGATACACATGGCTTCTTCAAGTCTGGTAGATTCATCATGGAATTCACCAACTTCATTTTCAATAAGAAATAGATATTGCCATTGTCATCGGAAAGCAAGTATTAAAATTTCTGAGAGCAGGAGGAATCCAAACAAGCTATGTTTCTACTGCTCAAATTGCAAATTCTTTCAGTGGTTCGAAGGACCTGAAGAAGGTGAAGTGAGCAGCCAAAGAATAGATCAACGTTCAAGCATGCAAAAGGAGGATCGGATACAGTTTGCCAAAGTAGAGCAGTCGAACTCCATTGTGAAATGGCTGCTTATAATGAACCTGTTATTCATAGCTATTTACATTTTGTTGTTGATATTTTTTCAGTGGTTCGAAGGGTCTGAAGATGGTCAAGTAAGCAGGCAAAGAGCAGGAGGACATTCAATCATGCAAAGAGGTGATCAAGTGCAAAATTTGAATGCTGTCAAGTTCAACTCCATAGTGAAATTGATGCTTATAATGAACCTTGTATTTTTAGCTGTCTATGTTGTTATGTTGACTGTAAAAGATATCAAATGAGTATTGATTCATAATAATAAAGAACCAGATTCATTATCATGTGCTTCCAGTTTTGCTTATTGAATACCACATGACAGATTATACAAAAACACAGTGTACGAGTAATAGTGCAAATGGAACTTCAGTTTCTATTGAGAAGCATTTTGAGTGTATAGCAGCCAAATGTTTCCACTCATGCATCCAGGTTGATACAAAAAGATAAATTTGTCCAAAACATCAGATAACTAATGTTCAGATACCAAAATTAGATAATCAAGACATCAGATATTGCCATTTCTCCAATGTCGACAAGTAATGATCAGATATTCATGTCCTCTGATATCCAAATAACAAAAGACTCTTAATAGATTCTACTAAAAGGTGAAGCTGCTACTGACATTGTGAGAATCATGAGAAACTGAAGCATTAATGTTGACATCAGTTTGTACTTGGGCACTTCCTCTGGGATGTAGTGTAGCAGTATGCATTCCTGCAAATGGTTGAGGTGCTGCTGTTGAAGTTTTCCTTTTGGGGTTATATACAACAGATGGAGCAGATTTGTTGGAAGGTCGTCCTCTCTGAAATTGCGGATAAAGCATGTATTAATATACAAGCATGTAAATAAGCATTAAAAGTGCAGCTATCTCTAAAAAATGATTAAGGAACAAATACCTTTCTCTTAGTAGCATTGGTTGCTGTTTGCAAATTCAAGTCAGCATTCATTAATGGTGATTGAGTTGATGGACTTGGGTTGCTGCCTTGACTAGAAACGACAATAGGCACATTGCCATCAGCATGATCCTACACAAATCAATGGCAAGCATTAGCTCATCAGACAACAGCAACATAAGAAAAGTCTGTTTCTGAATCTTGAATCTAAAAGAATTGTAACCCATAGAACAGATCCTGCAAGCCCTGTATTTGCAATTCCCCTTCCTGGCTTTCCTCTAGTAAATTGAGTCCCCTGACATGAAAATTAATAACAAATTACAAGCTCGCTTAGCAATTTCAAGTCCCTCAATTAAACCACTAGACTGAACCTTGTTTGTGCTGGTGCTTGTACTCCTTTGTCTCACAGGTGCTCTTTGACATGTTCTAGTATTATGTCCAGTAGCTTTGCAGTTGCCACATCTCATAGTGGTTGACCATTTTGCTTGAGATTGGCTTGGCTCATCAGGCCCTCTCCTTCTATTAACTCTTGGACGACCTGGAGCTCTTCTCAATGGTGGTGGAAGGATAGTTTTTGGTGTAACATCAATTAATGGAGGCCATCTCTACTCGTGAGGAATTGGATGTATCATGCCACTATATGTCTTGAGATACATTTCTGTTGAGAAGCAAGGATCACAGTATGTCTCCAACTTCTGTCTTCTGTATACAATTCCAAGTGCAGCATGCTTGCATGGGAGTCCAGACAATTGGAAAGCTCCACAGTCACATGTCTTCTGGTTCAAACTCACTATAAATGTTCTGTCACCATCAGTAACTTCAAACAAATCCTCACTGGCCATCTGCAATGAACATCTCCTAGAATGTATTGCAATTTCCTTGAGCTTTTCTATGATGTTTTTTGGGATAGCAGACGTCCATGTGCAAGCCTTCTGGTACTTTTTGTGTAATTTCTTCATAATTTTTTTCCTCAATCCTTCAACAAGTGTCAGTATTGGTTGGCACCTTAAGTCTCCAATCCAAGCATTGAAGGATTCCGTGAAATTGTTTGTGACATGGTCACATTTCATATCTGTTGAGAAAGCATGTCTAGCCCAAGCAGAAACTGGAATCTTGGATAAGAACCTCCATGCTTCTATATTCATGTCCTTGATTCTTTGCATTGCTTCAGTAAATCCAATTGCATCATAACTCTTAGTAGCTTGCCAAAAGAAGGTACTCAGTAACACTTCAGGGAATTGAGACTTGAAGTTCATGCAAATATGTCTGCAACAATATCTTCCAATTGCAGATGGCAGCAACTGTTCATATGCAATGTTCAGCCCCTACATCAAAAGTAAAAAATCAGTCAGCCTTTTTTACCATATCTACACAACAGGTTGTCCAAATTTGGCGAAGTAAAGTATTTAGTAATACCTTTTGCCTGTCACTCATGATAGTTAAGGGACAGTTGTTATCAAATGGTCCAAAGAATTATTCAAAGAAATGAAAGAACCAACTCCAAGTCTCTTTGTTTGCTACCTCAATAATAGCAAAAGCAATGGGAAATATGCTGTTATTACCAGCCAATGCAACAGCAGCCAGCAATACTCCACCAAAAGTACCTTTCAAATGACATCCATCAAATCCAACAAAGGATCTACAACCACCTAAAAATCCATCTTTCTGGCCTTTAAAGCTAATAAAAAGTCTCAGGAACCTTGGTTCAACTAGTAGATTTGGTCTGTCATAATGAATCTTACAAACACTACTAGGATTATGTTGCCTAAGAAGCACAGCATATTTGGGCAGTTTACTGTATGATTCTGAATGTGTACCTTCAATATCTTCTCTTGCCTTTTGTTTGGCTCTATACACTTGCTGTTTACTAGGATGCACACTATATTTTAGCATCTCAGCTTCAATGCCCTTTCTTGACAAGTTAGGATGAGTTCTCATCACAGCTATCAATTTTTTGGCCATCCCGTCAGAGGTGGCCTCACGATTTTTATTATCCATCACACGTGTGTTCAGGTGTGTAGGTCTTAATCATAAATGTTACTGAATCAGCTATAGGGGACGCATGAATCCTCCATGTACATCCAGCAACATCACAGATTGCAGTACACCTGGTTTTCTCATTCTTCAGCCTTTTGATAGGAAATCCTTTTTGGATCACATAATCCTTCAGTGCTGCTCTAAAGGCATCAACATTAGTGAATAGCTGTCCCTTCTTGAATTCTATGTCCTCTCTTGGATTGTAAGTCCACATCTGTTTCTTAGCACTTCTCTTAAAGGGTCCATTTCTTGCTCAGATTCAGAATCTGGTACAATTCGATCACCAGTTTCATTATCATCCAAGTTTTGAAAACTTTCATCACTGCTAGAATTCTCAGATAGAACCATTAGCTCATCATCCATATCATCTTCATTGTCATCATCAAATCCTTGCTTCCATGATTCATCAGAGCTTGATTCATCCCCATACCCCTCATCCTGGGAGTCAATAACATGAACATTCTGCTCATCAGCAGTCAAGGCAGAATGTTTGTTCTGAATTTCTATGTGCTCACTCTCACCATCAATCTTTTTGTTCAACAACATGGCAGGTTGTTCAGCTGGGATAATGTCCATGTTGAACACCTCTATATTTATGACTGGTTGACCTTCATACACACTGAACATATCATGGACAGCTTCATCATCATTCACATCAATGTAAGCTTTTGTTCCAGGTATTGTACATCTCATATGTACAAGAAGATTAATATTTCCAGGCAGTTCATGTAATGCCTTCTCGGCAACATCATTTAGTAGATTAATGAAAGAGTATTTTTCAGGATTTATATTGGAAATTCGAACTTTTGTCCCTCCACAATGGAGTACAATGTCATGCACATCACCAGTCACCATCCTACAACATCAGATATCACCATTTATGAACTTCAATGTATACAAACATATAATACTATGATAGAGTAACTCCCTAGACCTCATGCAAACTACTTTGTATGATTCATATAAACAGCATCATCACATATGGATGAATACACATTCTAGTTTATAACTATTATAACCAGAAATAATGAAAACATTGTTAGGTGATCATATTAATAACAAAAGCAGAAACGCAGAGCTAATGTAGGAAAATAAGAAGACATGTTCAGTTTCCACACGGTCAGTAACCTTCATCAGCCATAAGCTACGTAGTATCTAACCTTGCTTTGCTTTAGATGCTCTCAGAACACCAACAGTTCACCCTTTGCGGCAATACTTCAGCTCAATTTCCAGAACTCAATTTCTTCAACTCTCCCGTTTCTCTTGGAGCTCGCAAATGCTCTTCTCATGATCAGTATGGCTCAAGAAAGTCTATTCCTCACCAAAATTAACGTTCAGTCAGCTACCACTGTCACATCAACAACCAAATGGGCGCCCATTTTTGGCGCCTTTTCTCTTAGCCGAAATTAGCAATTCATTTTATTATCAAATTCCAGTTAAGTTACTTAATCCTTTCTATTACTCATTTCACTAATTAATTCATGTTATTATCAAAATTTATTACTTCAACAGCAGGGATATTTGTGTCAATTCAACGTCTTTCAAGTTATTTTGGGACCCAAAAATCTGACAGGGGAGGTATAAGGGATTTTCGGAACTTCAGGAGAGGTCCTTGAGACTGTCAGAAACCTCAGGGGAGGTTTCTGAAATTATCCCAAAAAAAAATAGAATTACCCTACTCATGAACTTCAGTCCCGGGATAAAGGTCGAAATAGTCAAGCCCAAAAGCAGCCACGGATTTAAGGGGGGGCTGGTGGGGGCTTAAGCCCCCCCAAGCCGCCGGAAAACCCCCTATATATAGGGGATTCCGGCGGCCAGCCCAGCCCAGCCCAGCCCCCCCACGGTGATCCAGATCTACCATCCTCCATGGTTCCATGAATGCTGCAGAGGAAGTGAAGAAGAGCTGGAAAGCCGCTGCCGTGCTGACTGCTGAGGAAGAAGATGACGCATTTCATTTTGAATTTTTTTTTTTGCCCTCTAAATACAAAACGACGTCGTTTCACTTTTAGTGGAACGACGTCGTTTTGTATAATGAGGGGAAAAAAATACATCAGATGAAACCCTAAGGCTTCATCTGATGCAAAAGCACGCCGCCAGTGCCAAAGGGCAAACAAGACTCCAACTCCAAGAAGAAGACGCCAGGCTCCAAGAACTCCAAAAAGCTTCAGTTGAGATTCTACCATCCTGCTTCAAGCCTTCAATTCAAGGCTCCAAGACTCCAACTCTCCACCATTCCATTCACATAAATCTTTTAGGTTAGATTTTTGGTTTAAATTACAATATTCATCTTTATATTTTTGTTAATTATATGTTTAAATTATTTTTGAATTTTGAGTATCTTGATATTAATTTGATTAAGATTAATTTTTATTTAGTTTATGTTAATGTAATTTAAGAATTGAAAGATTACATTAAAAAATTTAATGATATTAAATTTAAATTGGAAATTAGTTTAGAAATTGTATAGATTTTAGGTTGTATTTAGTTTTTAAAATTTTGTTAGTTTTATATTTGAAATTTTAAGAATTAATTATGTGAATTAGAAATTTTGAATGTAAATATAAATTCAAAATTTTATGAGATTGAATTAGAGATTATATGGGTATTTAGTTGTACCTTATTTTAACTTTTTTGATAATTTTATATAATGAATTTTATAAATGGAGAAATATAAGTAATATGAATTTATTATTAAATTAAAGAATTATTTATATGAATTTTAAATTAATTGATTATTGAATTGCATAATTTTATTGAATTTAACCACAATTATTTAATTGTGACAGAAAATGGAGAGATTCTTTAAACCTAAACGAGTCCGTAGTGGTGAATCTTCAAATGAGCCTAATATTAGTGAACCAGTTCAAAACCAATCTTGTGTGGAATTGAATTTAAATGATATTGTTAGTGATCCGGGATTACGAAAATCAGTTGAGAAATTTGATATTTCTCTTCGAGACCATGTCCGAAGAGAGTATTTGACTAGGGGACCTTGCCAACCGATTGGCCATATGTATCCAAAAACATCATTTGGTAAACAACATAGAAGTTTCCAAGATAGTTGGTATCAAAAGTTTGTATGGTTAGAGTATAGCATATCGAAAGATGCGGCGTTTTGCTTTTGGTGCTTTCTTTTCAAAACACAAAATAAGGGAGGTCGATATGCAGAGGATGCCTTTACAAAAACGGGATTCAATAATTGGAAAAAGGCAATGGAAAGATTTAATGAACATATTGGAGCTGTGAATAGTTGCCATAATGATGCTAGAATACAGTTTGAGAGTTTTCAAGATCAAAGGCATAGTGTGTCAAATGTGCTACGATCTTGTGGGCGCGAAATAGATATTGCATATCGCACCCGTTTAACTGCTGCTCTGGATGTGATCCGCTTTCTTTTGAAGCAAGGATTGGCTTTTCGTGGAAATGATGAGTCAACTAGTTCTTCAAATAGAGGCAATTTTCTTGAATTGTTTGAGTGGTATAGCCAGCGAAATACTGAGATTTTTGAGGTTGTAAATCAAAATGCTCCTGCAAATAATCAACTAACTTCTCCACTGATTCAAAAAGATCTGGCACATGCTTGTGCCTCAGAGATCACAAGTGTTATAATCAATGATATTGGAGACAATTATTTTTCCCTAATAGTTGATGAGTCTCGAGACAGTTCAGTGAAAGAGCAAATGGGAGTTGTTTTGAGATATGTGAACAAAGAAGGGCGTGTGATTGAACGTTTCCTTGCAATTGTACATGTGTCTGACACCACATCTCTTTGTTTGAAAGATGCAATTGATTCTTTATTCGCGCAACACGGATTATCATTATCCAAATTGAGAGGTCAAGGATATGATGGAGCTTCAAATATGCGAGGTGAGTTCAATGGTTTGAAGGCCCTTATATTACAAGAAAATCCCTATGCGATGTATATTCACTGTTTTGCTCACCAACTCCAGTTAGTTATTGTTGCCGTTGCTAAGGGAAATATCATTGTCAGTGAATTCTTTGTCTATGTCTCTATGATTGTCAATTTAACTGGAGCATCATGTATAAGGAGAGATCAATTAAGACAAATAGAACATGATAAGATTGCTACACTTTTAGACAGTGGAGATATTATTAGTGGAAAAGGCAAAAATCAAGAAACTAGTTTAGCAAGACCAGGGGATACTCGTTGGGGATCACACTATCTAACATTACTTCGTCTATCCTCTTTGTGGGCTTCGGTGATTGGAATATTGGGAAATATACAAGATGATGCCACCACTTCTGACAATAGAGGTATGGCCAGGGGTTTGATTGATAGAATGAATGATTATGAGTTTGTTTTTGCATTGCACCTGATGAAGTATTTATTGGGAATCACAAATGACTTGTCACTTGTTTTGCAACAAAGGGATCAAAATATTGTCCAAGCCATGAGTTTGATTGATACTATGAAATCTCAATTGCAAGACTTTAGGGAAGAGGGATGGCAAATAATTTTAGATGAAGTCAACAATTTTTGTGAGTTGAATATGATTCCCGTGATTGATATGGAAGACAGTATAGCAATCCGTGGCAATGCCAGGCGCAGTCGCAGAGGTCAAACCATCACTAATTTTCATCATTATCGCGTGGAAATTTTTTGTGAGGTATTATTTTTGAAATTATTATTTCATTACATTTGTTACTTGTTAGCAGATTTTCTTAGTTATTAATTTTATTATTGTTGTGATGTCAGGTTGTTGATTTAATTATACAAGAGATGAATAATCGTTTCTCGGAAGTTAGCACGGAATTGCTTAGTTGCATAGCATGTCTTGATCCAAAAAGTTCTTTCTCTCAATTCAATGTGCAGAAACTACTCCGTCTTGCTGATTTATATCCTGAAGACTTCTCAAGTAACGATTATTTATATCTTGAGTCTCAACTTCGAAATTATATTTATAATGTGCAACGCGATCCTCAATTTTCAGAAGTTGGAGATTTGGGAAGTCTTGCTCAACAAATGGTTAAAACTGGTAAAAATACAGTTTTTCCATTGGTTTATCGTCTGATCCAGTTGGCATTAGTTCTACCAGTTGCGACTGCTTCTGTTGAAAGAGTATTTTCTGCAATGAATATTGTCAAGACTGATTTGCGCAACAAAATGGGAGACGAGTGGATGAATGACTGTCTGGTTGTATACATCGAGAAGGATATTTTTGCAACAATTGAAAATGAGCAAATATTGCAGCGTTTTCAACGGATGAAGACTCGCAGAATGCAATTGCCTCCTCTTCGTTATTCGAGTGCAACAACTACCAATACTTCAAGTGTTAATCAATAACAAATTTTTGGGTATGTATAATTATATGTTTTTATTATTTTTATAATTATTGATTCTAAATTTTACTTATTAAATATATTTATTTCGTCACAAAAAAAAATTTTTAATACACTTCAGCCCCCCCAAAAATAAATTTCTGGCTCCGTCCCTGCCCAAAAGGTTAATTTTGTCTGCAAACAAGTTTGAACAGCACTACACCAGTCACCGGCATTTACTTAGCTCCGTCTTTCTAAGCCCATCGAAGGGAGCCATTTAGGAGCCTGAAACACCCCAAAGGCCCGAACACAGCAACTCGGCCAGGCAACGGCTGCCCATTACCATATACTTATTCTTATACTTTGGACAATAAGAAATTTTACAATTATGTTTCTTACAGCATTATAAAATTTTGAAGTACAAAAAAAGATAAAAGTGTTGGGAATCGTGTAAGAATGACGGATTGTTTCTGGATAATTTATTTACATATCAACTAAATACTGAAAAGAAATGAAAAGAGAGCCTTTCTTCGTTTGGATTATATAGGAGGTATTTGAATTCATAATTCATCGATTATTATAGTATTTAAATACTCGGTGATGTATAAACTCAAATGTCCCCTAGGTTTTTTAAATAATGAGAAAAATTTGAAAGGATTTCAAAATTCAAATTTTTTATCAAATCCTTCAGTACAAATGCAGTAAGCAATTCCTTAGAGTAATTTTTTAAGGAAAATCAATTACACAGCTACCAAGTTGTAAAAGCCCACCCAAAACCTTTTGTAATAGACTTGACCAACCAATTAAAGCCTACTAGCCCAATGCCGTATACCCACTTGTCCTTCCTGTAGTTGCCCGCTCTGGCTGGTTCTAGCAACGGTTTCTGAGGAGACAAGTCTGGGCCGAAGATTGATATGTAGATTTTTTGCTTCTCATTGTTTTGGTAAATTTCTGTTGCCTTGAATTTTTATCCAACGAGGTTTACCATTCTCTTTTCATTAATTTTAGTTAATTTTGTTGGCCTGATTTTCACAAAATACCTGATTTCATCATAATGTATAGGTTAAGGGAGAATGTAGAGAAATAAAAGGGTAAGCACCAAAAATTGACAGGTGCCGAACCTGTGCAATAATAATTACTAAAAAGTCCTAATTACCACCTCAATTAAATAATTATAGAACAAATCCAAGTACTGGAGCAGGGACCCTAGGTGTGCAATGGGTTACTTGATTCACCCTGTTCCCGAAGAGTTTGCTTGATCCGATATACCGGGTTTGTCTATAAAAATACTAATTTTGCGTACAATGGCAAGTAGGGTCGATTCCACAGGGAGCAGGTAGGAAATTATTTCTTTCCAAATCAGCAGAACAAAATTGGGGGATTTTCAATGGGAGAGAAATAAATAAAATAAAAGTAAAATAAAAACAAAGCGAACTAAATTCAAAACCAACTCACAAAGCACAAGTCACTAAAAATAGCAATTAACAAAAGTTCTACCCAAAGGATCAACTGCTCAGGCACGGTCCTTTTAAATGCTCATCGATGCAAAGATATTTCACCCATTTATCACTAGGTTGGTTATAGCCATCAATAAGCTCTGACAACCAGTTCTTCCTTACCTTTTCGACAGTCAAGGTACGACCATTAACTGCTTCCCTAACCAGATAACAACCCTAGGTACGACCATAGGAATTTAATTACCCAATTGCATTAAAGCTAGAAGAACCCAACCCTAACCAATAAACACGCTAAGAGGGTTTATTTAAATTAGATCATGCATTTCCCCATCATAAAGCCAATTATGGTGGTTGCCACGGGGTGTTAACTAAATGAACAATTACGGATTCTATTTAATTAACGTGGCAGTAGGCTATTAAATTAAATCAAATACCCGGCCGTTGATATTCAATTAATAAAATATCCATGAACAATTAATTCAGGAAACGCACGAATAATAACGAATTGGAAGAAATAATGAAAGCTTGATTAGATCTCACAGGTTTTATGGACCGCGCCCTCGCGTCACCCTTTGGGTAGAGGAGGAAATTAGCCGCTCCTCATCGTTTCAATCCCGCGTGGTTTAGTTGAATACATTAAATTGATTTCCGAAGAATTGGAGAAGCACAAGAGAAAACCCACGGAATTTAGAAAAGTCAAAGGCAAAAAGTGAAGAAAGGTCTCCGTTGTACAGAGCCCAGATGCAATCCGCAGAAATCTTTAATGTCTGGCCACTAGCCGCTAGCCGCAGGCGAAACCACAGTAAAGAAAAAGAGAACAGGAGAAAAGTTTTTGACCCAGAGCCGCAGAAAGCAAAAGAAAACTCTAGCTACCTAATTTCTGTCGTCCCTGTTGCCGAATGAGAAAGAAAAATAAAAGCCCCCAAGAGAAAGTGGCGGCTGACAAGGGGTAGAAAAGGAAAAATTCAAGCTAAGCCTAAAAGTTGATGATTTTTCTTGCTTTGTCCTTTTTCTCCTTATAGCCGCCGCAATTCCAAGGAGTCCAAAAGCCAAGAAACGTCTGGTGCAAATCAACCTGCAAAAGCCATTCTCCCCTTTGAGTTTTGATCCCATGCGCCTGGTCCACATGGACCACGGTCCGTCTTTCGGTTTCGTCCACCTTCCAAGGCGTGGTCACGCTCTGAAATGAAAAGTCTTCTGGAAATTTTTCCCCGCGATATCATTTTAATGCTAACCACCTACAATTCACACAAATGTCAAATATGAGTGAAATCCCCTTTCTTAGCACCATGAATGGCCAAAATTAGGACAAGATGACAATGCAAAACGTGCCAAATAACGGCTCTATCAAATCCCCCCACACCTAAACAATGCTTGCCCTCAAGCATTTCGAAGCTCAGACGTACAACCACGAGAGCGGAGGTCATGCAGTAGTCTATACTAACACAAGCATCTAGGGTCCCTGACAATATCACCAAAGGTAGAACACACTGGACATGTTGTAATTCGAATCGAAGAATATATAAGAATACTAGGAACGCTCAAATCAACATCACGGAATGTCATTACCATAGGCTTGCACATTTATCACATCTCCACCACTTAAAAATGAACCAAACACATAAATCAAAGGGGCTTTAATAGGGTTGTAATGGGGCTCAGGTGAAAAGCGGGTTGAGAAAGTATAGATGGGGGGTAAAGTGTCAAGAGAATGTCCGAAACTTACTAATAACCATAGTGCTTTACTGGAGGAGTTTCACAAACAAGGCAGTTTTCATTTGCTGTACCCTTTGTACAAGTGTCCCCAATTTTTTCCTCTTTGTCACTTTTTTTTTTTTTTTTAAGACTGCTCGCAAGGCGTGGGCACGCCTTGTACCCCATAGTCCTCTGGTCACGAGGTCTCTTCAAGGTTTTTTTTTTTTTTTTTTTGAAGAGAAAGTCCTGTAAGGCGTGGGCACGCCCTGTAAGCCATAGTCCACTGGTCAGTGGCCCTCTTCCAATTTCTCATTCTTTCTACAAGGCTAACATCATATGGCACCTAATCTAAAACCACTTGCAACCCCCCAAATTTGTTTGTTTTCGCACAAATGATGGAATTCAGGCATCCCTTGACAACACAGGGGTAAACAAAAAAGTTTAAAGAGGTCTTGGGTTAACAAATATGGGTAACAACCAGAAACGAGGGACAAAAGCTCAAATTGGTTTACTATTGGGAGATAAGATGAGGGATTGATTTTTTTAGATAGCTAAAGAGGGTTAAATCCTAAATGCCCTTATCATTTCAAATGCATCTAATTCAACAAAAATGTGGCCTTGACATGTATAAACTAGCAAATTCTAGAATGCCAATACCATGTGTGATACCCACTCAATCAAACAAAAATAGAGCAAACAAGAATAATGTGCTCATATAAGGCTCAAAAGCTCCCAAAAGTTTCAAAAATGGGTCTAATCCAGTATATCTAACATTCAACGACACTGCCAAAGGAAACAAAATGCATAGCTAGTATATTTACCCACATACCCATGCATCTTGATTGTGTTATTTATCACAGCAACATGCTCAAGCATTAACAAGCAAAAATAACCAAAAAGACGACTAAGTACAATGTTTTTCATTTTTTTTTCATTTTTTTTTTGTTTTTGTTTTTTTTTTTCGAGTAACAAAGAAAAAAGAAATAATGGAAGCCACTAATCCCCCCACACCTAAAACTTACATTGTCCTCAATGTAGAAAAGACAAATGAAGTATTAGGGAAAAAGAGAAGAAACTTCCCTGACCACCGGGGAGAGAAAGTGAGACACTAAGGCTGAGGAGGTGAGACGGCCGCGTGCACAAGGTGGTGTGGTGGCGGCGGACGCAACATCAACAGGAGGGAGAAGACTGAAGTTTCTTTTTCGGAAGGATTGGAAGGCGTGGGCACGCCTTAGAAGTTATAGTCGTCTGACCGTCAATTCCAAAACTCCATTCCTTAGGTGTGATGACCTAGCGTGGGCATGTCTAGCTGCCAACTTCCTGTCACAAAATAACAACCCACTAAATGACACTAACACTTAACAAAAACTTCAAAAATATAAGAAAACTAAAACAAAAGAAGCCTTGGGTTGCCTCCCAAGCAGCGCCTTTCTTTAATGTCTTTGGCTAGACATAGCACCACTCTTTAGTCTGGATGTAATTGAATTTTCCTTGTAATTGGTGGCCCTCCTCCAGGATCCACATGGCCATTGAGTGCAACTTTTTTCCTGAATTTTCTCTCCATTTTTACCTCATGAATTGCTTTCATCCTATAGGACTTGTTCGCTGCAACCTTGGATTTACCCCTATAAGCAAACTTAGGAAATTCTTGCACAGAGGAATTAGTGGTATACATAGCAAACACAGAATGAGAGTTAACAGGATGTTTCATTGTATCAAAAATATTAAAATGGACTATTTCTCCATCAAATTCCATCGTGAGAGTACCCTTACTAACATCAATTTTAGTTTGGGCAGTACTCAAAAATGGTCTTCCTAATATAATGGGTGATGGATTTGGGGCACTTCTATCATCCATGTAAAGTACATAAAAATCAGCAGGAAAAATTAATCCATCTACTTGCACTAAAACATCCTCAACTATCCCATCCGGATAAGCACATGTACGATCAGCCAATTGAATTATTATCCCCGTTTCTTTTAAAGGTCCTAAATTTAGGGAATCATAGATTGACTTAGGCATCACATTAATAGAAACTCCTAAATCTATCATGGCATTTTTGATACTAGAATGACCAATCTTACAGGGGATAGCAAACATACCTGGATCTCCGCATTTGGGTGGGAGTTTCCTTTGAAGTACAGCTGATACATTCTCTCCTACCATCACTCTTTCATCACCCCTTAGCTTTCTTTTGTTAACGCACAAGTCTTTCAAGAACTTTGCGTACTTGGGTACCTGCTTGATCGCGTCCAATAGGGGGATGTTTACTTGAACTTTGCGGAACACATCCAGGATTTCTTTTTCCTTTTCTGCCCTCTTTGTCTTTTCCAACCTGCAAGGAAAAGGAGCTATATTAGATTTAATAGGGATCGAAGGAATAGATGTTACCTTAGACTCTTCGCGAATGCGCCCTTCCTCTTCAATCTCCTTTTCTATCTCCTCTTCACTTTTGCTTTTCGAATTTAGCACTTTAGGTCCATCCACCTCTTTGCCACTCCTTAATGTCATGGCACTTACATTCCTGGGATTTGCCTCGGGTTGTGATGGCAATTTCCCATAGACGTGGGACTCCAGGCGGTTAATGGCAGTTGCCATTTGACTCATTCGAATCTCCATGTCCTTCATGCCTGCTTTGGTGTCCTGCTGGAACTGATTGGTGCTCATGGTTAAAGCTCTAGTTTCTTGCTGGAGTTGAGCCATATTTGTGGTCAATGACCTGGTCTCCTGCTGGAACTGTCTAGTCTCTTGCTGGATCTGGGCGGTAGTCGTAGCCAGACTCTTTACAATATCCTCCAAGGAACTCCCTGTGTTGGAGGATGATGGTTGTGATTTCGGTTGCCATGGTTGCTGAAATCCTGGTGGACGATGCGGAAATGAATTTTGTTGCCTGTTCCCATAGCTGAAATTGGGATGATCTCTCCAACCCGGATTGTACGTGTTGGAGTATGGGTCATACTGCCTACGAGGCGCGGGCACGCCTCCAGCCATGTTCACCTGCTCCGCTCCGTCCTCTTGCAAAATGGGGCACGTGTCCGTGCAGTGGTCCATGCTAGTACAGATCCCACATACTTTCGCTCTCGGCGTGTCTCTCATGGCTAATTGCCTAACAACCGATGTCAATTCTGACATTTGCTGCTGTAGGGATGAAATCTCTACCTCGTTGACTTTACGGGAAGGGTTGCTCTCACGGAAGCCAAATTGCTGGGAGTTCTCTGCCATGGCCTCGATGAGCTCCCACGCTTCCCTCGGTGTCTTGTTTGCCAGTGCTCCCCCACTTGCGGCGTCAATGATACTTCTATCTGTTGATTGGAGTCCCTCATAGAAGTATTGGATTAACAGTTGTTCACTAATTTGATGCTGCGGGCATCTAGTGCACAACTTGTTAAACCTATCCCAGTATTCATACAAGGACTCACCGGGATATTGTTTAATACCGCAGATTTCCTTCCTCAAACTCGCAGCCCGAGATGCAGGGAAGAATTTTTCCAAGAATTTCTTTTTCAGCTGCGCCCATGTGGTAATACTACCTGCTGGTAGGTAGTACAACCAATCTTTAGCTGCATCTTTGAGAGAAAACGGGAAGGCTCTCAGTCTAATTTGCTCTTCAGTGACCCCAGGAGGTTTCATACTAGAGCAAACTACCTCGAACTCCTTGACGTGCTTGTGGGGTTCTTCACCAGAGAGACCATGGAAAGAAGGTAGAAGGTGAATCAACCCCGACTTCAGTTCGAAAGCAGTATTCTCAGCCAAAGTAGGGAATGTGATGCATAAGGGCTGGTGAGTCAGCTCCGGGGCAGCCAGCTCCCTCAATGTTTGGTTGTTGGCCATGCTTACTTCGTCTTCCGCTGACTCGTTTGCAGCAAATAAGTGCCCTTGTTTTCGTCTCTTGGTCTCTTGCCTCCGCTTACGCGCTGCCTTCTCAACCTCCGCGTCGTATATCAATTCACCTGTGCGAGAAGAGCGGGGCATAAACTAGCAAAAGTATCAAGAAGAATAAAATAAAATAAAAATAAGAACTAAATTTGAAAAGAAACAATTAATCCAAACGCCAGCTCCCCGGCAACGGCGCCAAAAATTGACAGGTGCCGAACCTGTGCAATAATAATTACTAAAAAGTCCTAATTACCACCTCAATTAAATAATTATAGAATAAATCCAAGTACTGGAGCAGGGACCCTAGGTGTGCAATGGGTTACTTGATTCACCCTGTTCCCGAAGAGTTTGCTTGATCCGATATACCGGGTTTGTCTATAAAAATACTAATTTTGCGTACAATGGCAAGTAGGGTCGATTCCACAGGGAGCAGGTAGGAAATTATTTCTTTCCAAATCAGCAGAACAAAATTGGGGGATTTTCAATGGGAGAGAAATAAATAAAATAAAAGTAAAATAAAAACAAAGCGAACTAAATTCAAAACCAACTCACAAAGCACAAGTCACTAAAAATAGCAATTAACAAAAGTTCTACCCAAAGGATCAACTGCTCAGGCACGGTCCTTTTAAATGCTCATCGATGCAAAGATATTTCACCCATTTATCACTAGGTTGGTTATAGCCATCAATAAGCTCTGACAACCAGTTCTTCCTTACCTTTTCGACAGTCAAGGTACGACCATTAACTGCTTCCCTAACCAGATAACAACCCTAGGTACGACCATAGGAATTTAATTACCCAATTGCATTAAAGCTAGAAGAACCCAACCCTAACCAATAAACACGCTAAGAGGGTTTATTTAAATTAGATCATGCATTTCCCCATCATAAAGCCAATTATGGTGGTTGCCACGGGGTGTTAACTAAATGAACAATTACGGATTCTATTTAATTAACGTGGCAGTAGGCTATTAAATTAAATCAAATACCCGGCCGTTGATATTCAATTAATAAAATATCCATGAACAATTAATTCAGGAAACGCACGAATAATAACGAATTGGAAGAAATAATGAAAGCTTGATTAGATCTCACAGGTTTTATGGACCGCGCCCTCGCGTCACCCTTTGGGTAGAGGAGGAAATTAGCCGCTCCTCATCGTTTCAATCCCGCGTGGTTTAGTTGAATACATTAAATTGATTTCCGAAGAATTGGAGAAGCACAAGAGAAAACCCACGGAATTTAGAAAAGTCAAAGGCAAAAAGTGAAGAAAGGTCTCCGTTGTACAGAGCCCAGATGCAATCCGCAGAAATCTTTAATGTCTGGCCACTAGCCGCTAGCCGCAGGCGAAACCACAGTAAAGAAAAAGAGAACAGGAGAAAAGTTTTTGACCCAGAGCCGCAGAAAGCAAAAGAAAACTCTAGCTACCTAATTTCTGTCGTCCCTGTTGCCGAATGAGAAAGAAAAATAAAAGCCCCCAAGAGAAAGTGGCGGCTGACAAGGGGTAGAAAAGGAAAAATTCAAGCTAAGCCTAAAAGTTGATGATTTTTCTTGCTTTGTCCTTTTTCTCCTTATAGCCGCCGCAATTCCAAGGAGTCCAAAAGCCAAGAAACGTCTGGTGCAAATCAACCTGCAAAAGCCATTCTCCCCTTTGAGTTTTGATCCCATGCGCCTGGTCCACATGGACCACGGTCCGTCTTTCGGTTTCGTCCACCTTCCAAGGCGTGGTCACGCTCTGAAATGAAAAGTCTTCTGGAAATTTTTCCCCGCGATATCATTTTAATGCTAACCACCTACAATTCACACAAATGTCAAATATGAGTGAAATCCCCTTTCTTAGCACCATGAATGGCCAAAATTAGGACAAGATGACAATGCAAAACGTGCCAAATAACGGCTCTATCACATGGACCAGCATCATTCATCTTTGTATTAATTGTTCCTGGTGCAACAGGAAAAGACATGGCCGGTAAATTATTTTGGGGCGTCGAGAAGTGCCGGTATCTCCTCCCCCCCCCAAACACTCCCCTGTTGGAGGTACTTGGAGTGGGAGGGGGGGTGCGCTACCGAACATTTTCTGCTGGGGGGTGGCAAGCAAACTCCAAAGGTGGTGCAGCTGCTGAGGCTCCAAAGGCATCAATGCCCGAGAAATTTCTAAAATTATGATGATTTTTAAAAAAATTCTACAAATGGGACATTTTTTGTATGAAATTCCGTCCAGGGGTCTTCGCATTCAGCAAATGCGAGCTCCTTGAGCTCGCATTTGCTGAATGCGAGGTCTCCTGAATTTTCCTAGCATCCAAATAAAAAAAAAAAAGAAAAAGAAAAACAGACCTCGCATTTGTTAAATGCGAGGTCATATACCTCGCAATTAACAAATGCGAGGTGCACGCCCAGGTAACTCAGCTCGTACTTAGCGAGCATTGTGACGAAAGAAGCCCCTGGTCCAGTGAGCGTGAGCAAGCTGCAATTTTACATAAAAAGACTGCTCAAACAATTGACATAAGTTAGAAGCTGTGCATGTTTCATCATGCGAGTGATGAAATTGGAGCCAAAATTCACTATTTACCATCTTCAAATTATTTTCAAGAACATGAATCTAGATTTTGCCATGATTTTTCTTTTTGCTCAGTTCCAATGCAAAGCCTTCTCTTGCTTTATGATTTCACTGCAAATTATAAAGTGATTTACAATTTGCAATGAAAATCTCTACAAATTTTACTACTTAAGGCTGTAAATTCATCAAACCTCAAATTTTTGTTTTTGCATTGACATTTATCATAGAGAAATAAATCCTTTTTTATTTTAAAACTCACACGAGTTAGAAGTTAGCAAATGTGAGGTCTCAACACAAAATTTTATGTACTAGTAATTCTTTGTATATAAATAACAAAAAAGTTATATTTCTTATAGATTAAAAGATTTGATAATTATATTGTTGGAAACACCTAATTTTATTATTAAATAATTTTATAAAGAAATAACTATACATGTATAGTTCTTTATACGGTTGGAAACAAGCTTTGGCTTTGTATTCAGATTGAGGTCCTCACATTTGCGAAATGATTATTTATCAAATGATTATTATGTGATTATTTATCTTATAGATTAAAAGATATACTTTCCTATAAATATAAAAATTATAATCACATAATAATCATTTTCAAATTAAATGAGAAAAAATTCCCAAACCACATATATTTATCACACTAGGATATTTAAAAACATTTTATTTGTTTATTGTAATTTATTATGATTAAATATATATATATATAAATTTTTTTTGAAAAAATTTTGATAGAGTCTCCCCTTAAAAGTGGACTAAACTCCCTGTCAGCAAACCCAAAATAGATAACATTTAATCCAAGCAATATTTCCAACAACTTGTCAGCCAATAATCACAAACCACTGCAAAAGCACAAGTCTTTAGTAAATTAAAAAACAGAAAAAGTAAAATCAAGTTAAACATCCAACATTCCACAGATTAAGAACAAAATGGAAGCAAATCCATGCACAAATAATATAGTGATCCTAATGGTGCAGCTTCAATCGTCATCTTCATCTGCAGCTCCACCCTGAGGTGGAGTAATGCTTAAATGATCCTCTATACGTGCCAAGCGAGTGTCTATCATCTGCAACTGGAAAAATAAATTAAAATTAGTAGCACAAGACTATGGTACAAATAGAACTGCCATTTTCAAAATTAGCCATACTCCACAAAAAAACCAATAATTGCAACATCTGAGTCAATGAAAATGAGAAACAAGTAGAACTACTCTAGAATGAAATAATACCTCTATTAGACCAGCATGAGATGATCTCGAACATTGTTCTTTAATATCATAACCCGCTCACATTCAACAAGAGCAGATGCATTGATTTCCATGGTTCATGCAGTTGAATTCCAGCCCCAGCCCTTAACATGTTTAAGAGAATCCTTTTTACCATTTAATACATACATATCAGAGTTTGCAGGAAAGTGTGATGGATCCTAAAGCTAGCATGGATAGCATGAGGGTGCCAGTACTTCCAAGTACAGATGCCCCTAGTAGCAGTAAAAGTAGAAATTATACTAGAAGCTACTCAGATACCGTAGACTATGATAAAACACATAGCAGTCAAATGTGTAGACATTGTAATAGCATGATAGCCCAGCAACTAGGCAGATCCTCTGCTCCATTTCTGTAAAAAAAACTGGGCAACTTCATGAAGCCTATCAGACCAAATGCTTAAGGAAAACTTTAACTAAGTCCAAACCTATAAACCAATTAAGCAATATACACATATCAACAGTCCTAACATATACTGCAATCACCACATGCGACAACTAATATCTTTGAGGCAGGATGTTTTAGACTAAAAACTAAGAAAGCCAGGACAAAGTTTCTTTGCAGCTTCGGCATGGCTTCTTAAAGATTTTATTTTTTTGGTAGGCTAGCTAGCTACTTAGAACTTGGCATTAACTAGCTATGGTTCTTAGATTGCTGCTTTTCCTTTTTTTTCTCTTTCATGTTTCTGCAATGCAATATTGATTGCTGCCTTTCCTTTTTTTCTCTTTCATGTTTCTGCAATACAATATTGATCCACGTTAATCCCATGCTGCCTCCACATGAAAGCAATAGCTAACTGCTAACCTCCAGGAAAATTAATCAAAATAAAAGAAAAAGTATGTGGATGCAACCGCAACAGTCCTCAAACAGGAGACCAAATGCATCAACAAATTACACCAACGGCCACGAATAAGAGACAAACCAAAAAATTGCCAAATCAGAAAAGCAAATACAACAAGCCGAAACAACAACAACGCCCAATAAATTGCCAAATCAGAAAAGCCAATTCAATTCAGAAAAGAAAAACCCCAGAAAAATAAAAGCAAATCAGAAAAAAAAAAAAAAGAAATTCATACCCTTATGCTGTTTCTAAGCAACAGAGCACAGCCACGAATTTGAAAGCCATTTGCCAAAAAAGAAAATGTGCAGTGCAAATGGGACACAAAATTGGTTGGGGAGTCCTGTTGTGGTTGTAAAAGTGGCAAATTGGGAGGGGGGAGAGAGGCGCAGCTGGCTAGCAGAGATGGGTTCCGAAGAGGGGTCCAAGCTCTACAGTGGCCGAGATCTTCCGACGAGAAAGCTGTGCCCAGATTTCGCCTGATGAGAACGGCTACAGCTCTACAAAAGAGAAGAGCTTCCGACGAGAAAGCCGCGAGATTCCGATGACAAAGCTGTGACCAAGATTTCGCCTGACGAGAAAGATGGAAGCTCAACAAAAGAGGAGAGAGTGAGGAGTGAGCTGGATGGAGAGAGTGAAGAGAGAGTGAGACAGATTTGAATGGCGATTGGGAGCTCTGGCTTTGCGCTCATGCGAGCTTGTTTTTTTTTTTCGTAAAAGACTGACCTCGCATTTGTGAAATGCGAAGTATCTGAACTCGCATTTCACAAATGCGAAGATCACACTTTTGGAATTAACTTCAAAAATTACCCCTCTTGCAGAATAACTTTATTTTTTCATCACAACTTAAGAATTTACTCTCAATGCCCAACAAAGAAGTCGAGTCCATTACGGTAGTTGGAGCCAATATTCTCAAGGATGGAGCAGCACCGAAAATCTTGCTAGACTCAAAATAGTACCCTGAATGGCTGTCACACCTACTTGATGAGGTCTTTACTCTTGGATAAGGTCTTTATTCTTGTTTTAGAGAGATCAATGCTAAATAATTTCGCAAGTTACTGTAGCAAATCTGGTTATGACTTGTAAAGCAATAAATTTCTACATTTTCTTAAAAAAAAAAAAAAGAGCAGACTTATTGCCAATGTCTTGAGTTTCTTACCATCCCCGAAAATGCATTTTTCCTTCATTATATTGCCAGAGGGCATTACTGCGTGCATGTCGTTCCACTTCCATATAACAAGAAAATAGGCTTATTGTGACGCCAGAATTGTGTTGCAAAAAGTCACAAAAGCGCTGTAAAAACCTTTTAGTGGCACAAAAGCGATAAAATTCTATAGTATCACAAAAGTAACTGTTACAAAGGAAAACGATGCAATTTACGAATGTGCTGCATGTATTTGTGTCACTTTAATGCTAGCTTGAGTGTCGCCATTCTACTTGTGGCACAAAAAATGTGCCCCAAAAATGTCCATAATGTTATGTGACATAAGCTTGTGTCCAAAAAAACCACTAATATAAAGGCCAAATTTTTTGATGGTACAATATTTATCATGCTCAAATATACTAAAATCAAATATCAGAATAAAATTAAAGTTCCACAGTACACTGGAATAAATCATCATATACTGCTTCAGTCAAATTCTACAAACTTAATCACGTCATCATTTCAACAAAAAAAAAAAAGAGGATAAACTTCTTAAAAGTAATATAATTCAGTCCAATGACAAGATATTTCATATATCCCAAGAAGTGCTTGTCTTCGAAAGCACAGCTTCATCATACATCTCTCAAAAGCATCTCCATGTCTCAAAATCCTGAAATAACACAAAACATATAGTCATAACCATTCTTGAATACTAGAGTTTGGAAATGTCTGCATTAATTCACTTCCAAATTTGGGAAAGTAACCCATATCCACTATCCAATAGAACTACACTCAATAAAATTTCAAGGTGGGAGGAGGAGAATTTAAGAAAAAGAATGAGCAGACTCCAAGATTAGGGTGTGCCCCACCATCTACAAAAGAAATACAATCTGAGGACCACACTAATCAATTTCAGAACGTTTTACCTATGAATTCAGTCAAAGAGTTAGGACCACCAGCAACGTGAAAGAGCATGCACATAAGGAATGAAAGTTCCTAAAACATGTAATGAGTAAATTATGCAGTACGAACTCGGCAACCCCTTGTTCAATGCATGTTACAGTGAAGAAAGCAATGAAAAATTGTTAATCTTGAAGATAGGAATGAATTGTACCCCCTGTCACTTCACAATCTACAATTACAGATAGTACTTCTTCCTTAATAATCAAGGAATGTCGTCCAAGATGGCATGCAGAGCTCGAGATAGGCACAGCCTCATAGCACAAAACGCAGGGTCTATGAACTAGGGGACTCTCTGGCTTACAACTAGAGGTGTCAAAATAGGTGATTTGGGCGGGTTTGAGTTGGGTAAAATGGGTAATGGGTATAAGTGAGTCAACCCATTTATACCCATTTAATTAGATGGGTATAAATGGGTAAGTCAAACAATGAATTGGATAACCCAATTACCCATTTATTACCTATTTATTTTAATTTTTTGTAAACTCATTTAAATTCATTTTTGCAAACTAAGTTATCAATTTATAACGCTCTTTGTACCCATCATTAGTTTTAAATATTTACTTATAATGCTCAATAAGCCTAATTACTAATTTTTTTTCCATTTATACTCTATGTCGCAAAATTACATATTATGTAATAATTCAATAATAAGAATAAAAAAATTTGAACTAAGTACTATAAAAGTTAATATAAAAATTTAATCCAAAAATTTTGAACCCCTAATATTTTTTTCATATATAAATTTAAATTTCATTTTAGAAAGATAAGAAAAGAGGCTAAAACTTATCATAAATTGGTAATGTTAAAAAATGAGCAAGTTAACAAACTAAGAGAAAATAAAATAATAAAATAAAACCAACAAATAATAATAATAATGAAATAAAAGTAGTTAACATCATGATAAAATGAAAAATTTCAAAAAAAAAGGGAGGGTGGGGGAAGAGAAGAGACTTGGGGGAAAAGAATTCTAAATGGGTTAATTGGGTTTGATGGGTTCATCTATTCATTGGGTAACCCATTTATACCCATATACAAAAATTTAAGATACCCATACCCATCTATTCATGGGCGAGTATGGGTAAATTTAGTTAAGTGGATTGGTTTGCCACCTATACTTACAACTCATCAAATTAATTTATCCATATGATACATTATTTTGTTTTCGATCAGGAAAGAATATGAGAAATGATATATCAGAATTTTTTGCTTAAAGTATTGACAAGAATAAGTTCTCCTTGGTGTTCAAATTTGATAAGATTAAAGAAGACTATCATGCAAATGAAAAACAAGAAAAGAAAAAAGGAAAAGGAACAGATATATTGCCAACAAAATAAGCAAAATCCTGTCTCAATTAATGCATGAATAGAACATGAATTCATGTCTGATTAAGAAAAGGGCTACTGCTATTGCTATTGCAACTTTAGTTGAGAGATCAAATCAATTGAAAAACTGTGGGCAAGCATGCAATCTCAAGGTGTGCTTTTCCTTGAGAGCACCCAAAGTAGAGTTGCAAAGCTTGGAAAGGAACACATTAGAGGATGAAGCTGGAAGGAAGCCATGTGAGGCCTGTGCAAGTCTGAAACTTACTCCTATTAATGTCAACTTAGAAAGACAGATATTTCAAGGTAAATATTCACTTATAGTGTAATTGTACCCAAAACCTCAAGGTTACTAAATCAGAAGCTTTACAGCAATTAGAATCTTCAAAACATAACACAAACTTCATAAATGAACTGATTGTTAATCTCTCACATTCAAAGAACAATAAGAAGAAATCATGTGCAAGAAAATTGTCAAAATAAGCAGGGGAATTATATCGACAGCAAAATAAGCATATTCTTAGTAAGTAAAATTGTTCTTTTATCACAAGCATGAAAAGAACAAAGTTATTTCCAGAAACTTTTCATGAAAGAGCAGAGAAAAGGACTTGAAAAAGAATTCCAATCACATAATTGACTCATATCCTGAACATATTTTCCATCTGTAGCGTTGGGAATCAAATGTTGTAGAACTTTCTTCTTTCTCCTAATCCGTTCCTTTCATATCTGCCAAATTCTATATAAGACCGAAAATCATATAACTTTTAAAATAGAAAACCAAAACTAGAAAATACAGGGCAAACAAATAAATATCAATTATTTTTAGCCGGCAATTAGAACTCTTCCATTTCAACAGTAACATATACAAATGAAACATTAATTATTGTTCATAACCATAATCGGAAGTCTTGAAGAAGTCTCAAGAGAAGATAATTGAAATAAAAAGGGCTTTTAAAACTTGGAATAGAGTGCGATTGTCCTCCCACGGGAAGAAGTATGGCAGGAATAAGAAATTGCAACAACAAAAAAGAATCAGAAATATGTGGTCAAGACTCAAGATTATATGTGGTCAAGAAGTTTTCTCATAATTACGGACACAAACCTGTTGGATAGTCCTAACAATCCACATTTAGTAACAAGGGAGAAACATTACAGTTCTATAGAAATTCAGTGAGCCAACAGAAAAGGAGATAAAGCAATTTTCTTGGTACAGAACTTCAAGAATTCTGTCAAAACATCTGGGAGAAAGTACGCAACATAGTACCAGCAAGTGTAGGCTTCCATCAACATCTTCATTTTTTGTGGCTGTCAAACTACCAAAAATAAAATTTATATTAATATCTACTCTCAAAACTAAATGAGTATAGTGGTGAGTAGAGTTGTCTCCTCGGAGAACTGACAGATTTATTACACAGATAATTTGGGGGGTTTTAGGAAGGGAGATATAAAGAACAAATTAAAGATGTAAGGGTACTGAATTTCCACTTCACAAATAGTGCAGTAGCTAAAGGATATAATAAATAATTAATTGACACAACCTAGTCAAAGATATAATTTCGGCACCGGCTCACGCAATTGATCATGGATACTTGGAATAATTCACACGTTCGTAAGTAAATTGGTTCTAGCAATTCAGCAACCGCCAAACTACAAATCTCTCCTTAGTTATATGGTAGTCCAGAGACGCTCTTAAACTACTCCCTTGTAAAATAGATAACCCCAGAGACGCTTGTAGGATTTAATCTATTCACAGCTTTAGAAATTAGAGAGACCCAATTTTAATTAACAA